TGTTTGTGTTCCAGGTGAAATCCATGCTCTTAAGTACTCCATTGCCCTTGGGAGATGTTATTTAGCTTATTATTACAATACAGAGTAATATCCCCATTGAGCATCATTTTTCTTCAATTGTTAGGTATGTACTTTTTAATCCCATTTGAAAGTGATGATATTGGAATGGTCTTCCAGTTGATGTGTACATACGGGGTGCTGGTGGTATCCCTGCCTGTCCATCCAGCCCAGAGCTGCTGAATAGAGGCGAGTCACAATCAGTGGTTTTGTACAGCCAGTGATGGATCCTCTAAATCACAATGTACAGGCTACTGTTAGAATCAGTAGATTGTCTTTTTATCACGGCCTTGTGATCATTTTAGGAGGCATCTCCTATCCTACACTGCTACTGTTAATCCTTTCATCTCAATGAACCAGCTCTGCTCAGCATCATATAATGGTATGTGCGTTCCTGGGTAACCCGAATGGGTAAGTCTCCTTACTGTTTTCTTCTTATACACTAAAAAATGCAATGTTGTTTTGTTGATTTCCACTCCCCCCCCACCCCCACAGCTTGACTGGCTATTTAAAGACCAAGGGGAGGGGCTTTGACTTTACCTGCTGCCACTTAAGAAAATATCACAGTGGTCCAGGACTTAATTTCATCAGGAAACATTCTGAACTTCAGTTAAAATGTTAAATGCTTTCTTAGCCCCAGGATAAAATAAAATTTCATTTGCTTTTACTTTTCTGCAATAACACCAATAAGGAGATATTGCCAAGGGCACAAGGGAAGCCAATTCTATAGCTAAACAAATCGGTGGTAAATCTACTTGCCAAATCCTGAACATACCCACTGAATGAGTGTTAGGAGCACATACATAAACTCTTATATTCTCCCCCCACCCCAGGTTAAGGATGAGAGTTCCCTAAAATAGCTTAATGTCCTACTACTAAGATTCTCACATTCTCAAATTCCTCATACATACATACATACAGAGACTTTAGCATAGGTTTGTGTGCAGTTATGAAGTTATTATCCCCATTTTTCAGATGAAGAAATTGAGGCACAGAGAAGATACGGAAATTGCCCATAGTCTCACAGTTAGTTAATGGCAGTCTGGCTCCAGGACTCTTTCTCTTTGCCCGTACACTGTACTGCCTCTTGTTGCATATCCAAACCAAATGTCAGTTTCCAGAAAATGCTAGACAAAACTCTGAACAATGATGATGATGATGATAATTATGGCAACCACTTAATGACCCTTTAGCTGTGTACTCAGGCACTGTAGTAGGCTTTCCCCACATATCATCTCATTTAATTTTTACAAGCTAGGGGCTTACATTTTATTATCCTTACTTTATAGTTGGCAAAACTGAGGATTAGAGAGCTCAAGTAATTTGCTCAAGGTCACAGGGCTAGTTATTGGCTGACTGGAGTTTACACAAGTTCACAGCCAGCGTTCATTCCATTGCCTACCTTCCATGCTTGCACAAGTTCCAGATCCAGAAGTAGAGAGAACTAGGATGTTCTGCCCAGAAACACCATAGCCATTATTAATTGTGTGACTACAAACTACAGGAGGACACTTGCTACTTTCCCATCTCAGAGCGAAAGTTGGGTATGATATAAATTTAAAACACTTTAACATCCCTGGGTAAGATGTATGCTTTGTGACTTTACAGTGTAGTATTTCTGATAAAAATTAATAGCTCTATTGAACAGTGTCTGTCCTTTCAATTAATGGTACATGAACAGGAAGGGTTAGAAAGGTATAAAAATGACTGAAGTTTTTACTCCATATTTGTTCATAAATACTGGTTGGGGGAAAAAAAAGATGCAAGAAAAAAATTCCTTCAATATATAGAGTTTCCCATCTCTTTAAATTTACTGAGATCCGGTTGATGAAAACAAAGATTCCAAGACAGGAAAGCAAAAGCGCAAGTCTCAGGAGGTGGGATTTCTTCTATTGAGAGCTGAAGGCCAAGAGCCTGAAGGAAGATTCTGGCATGTGTCCCACGTGGAGTGGGCACCTGCCCAGCCAAGGAGGCATACGTAAGACCTCTCACGCTGCGAATCTGTGCCCCTGGCACCAGCTACGGGTACCGCAGGCTCTGCGGCCACAGTGTGTCTTGGAGCCCCTCACATAGGTTCCATTTGAACACTAGAGACGAGGCTGTGGCTTAGGTAGGATAAGTCATTGCCCCAAGGTTGTAAAACTAGAAGGAGGTGAAGCCTAAATCCAATCCCAGGTAGGTCTGAATTCAAAGTTGGGGCTCTTAACTACTGGGCAAGGCTGTCTTTTGTTCCCAGGTAGCCAGGAGTCTTAGCAGATGGGGAGTAGGAGGATCAGGGCATGTCTGATGATGGAATGCCCCCCACGCTTGAGGCCATCTCAGCAGACCTAACCTCGCCAAGCTATCGGTGGGGTAAAACACGCTTTTTAAACTTAGGTTGAGATTTTAATGTTATTATCCCTGTGTGAACTTTCAAATGTAAAAAAAATAGTTGATGTCAAGAACTCAAATGAAAGAATCTCTAAACATACTGAGAGTTTTCTCTTTGTACCTTTTCCGGGAAAGTTCTATGAAGATTTTTAGGGAATTTAAAATGGGTTGGGTACAGTAATACTGCTTTATGTGGTATTTTGAGCAAGGCTAATTGTATTAACCTGATTCCAAAGTATTCTTACCTTCTGTACCCTGCTAACACAAACCAAAGAAATGCACACATGCACACACAAAACCAGCAAAGCATTTTTGTCTGTCTTTTCTTGGTGTAATTTGACCATAGGGAGTTCAGCACCATTTCACAAGGCCCAAACAAGTATCTCCGTGCCAACAAATGAAGGACACGTACCTTTTTCTGGGACGATAAGTGTGTTTATATTCCAAAGATTAAAAAAATAATAGAGCTACATAACTGTGGCCAATTTATCTACTGGAAATGTGAATATTTTGACTCTTGGACTCTGTCTGCACTAGGAGGAGGACGTAACATCATTGGACATGTGTGTTAAAACTCAGACAAGATTTCACAAGTGGGCATTCTTGATTTCTCTGTCAGTGTAATTTTTTTCCACTTTAGGAAGTGTGTGTATCATCCAAATAAACTATCAGAACACAGTTTCTAAAACAAAAAAAAATTTAAGTAAAGTCAAGTCTTATTTAATGTATGCACAGTACCAATCAATCTTCTACTTCGAAGATCATTTTCTTGTGGATACTTACAGGCTGGGAGAGCTATCCCTGGGATTAGGGGCTGGCAAAAGCCAAACAAAGCAAAGATCACAACTCTAGCCCCTGAGAATTTGTAACTGGCAAAGCAATCAGCCATTTAAATCATCCAAAGAATAAACTCCTAATAATTTCTTCTAAATAATGCAGCACTTTTTTCCCATCACAAATATTCCAGTGGTTGGGCATAGTAGTGCATTTTACTTGGATATTGGAGCAGAAAAATCACAGGGTAATACCCATTTTTGGATATGGTTTCTATCTTGAACTCTTGACATTTACATCTCAGGGGCCACTCTCCTGGCAGGGGTGAAGCAGGGTGTTCTATATCTGGGCACAGGTGTAAGAAGCAGCTTCTGGGACCAACCTGATGTGAGTATGAGTTATAGATATTAAAACCAACTTTTCCTCCACACCAATACCCCATCCCTCCAGAAATCTTAATAGGCTTTTGAGAGCCTCCATTTAGGGCCGGCTGCATAAAATGACCCTTTGATGAAAAGGGATTGGAACAAGGGTTAAAGCAGACATTGAAAGGTTACTGTAGAGGGCACGGTGTTCACACAGCCCTCCTTTAATATGTGTGGTGTGCACCTGTGATAAGATGATTCATTACACGGGGCCTCTCTTTGACAAGCTCCATCGTTCAGCCCTCGGGGTTCTGACGGGACAATCCTGCACCCGCCCAGGAAATAAAACAAGGTCAGCTTTTTTTCCCTGGGACGTAGACGGAGACGGTTTAGCTTATAATGCATCTTTGTTTACTCTTTATGTAAAATAAAAACAGGGTTCAAGACATCGCAATTGCTGCTCGGCACAGAGCAGGCCCAGCCTGGAGTAGGTAAACACGCTGCTACTAAATAAATAACTCGGGGAGGAAAAGTCCTCATGAGAATGCCAGGTCCTACTCCCTTGTGTTTCATGATCATAAGCAGCCACGTCGGAGAACCAAGTGGCCTGACCACCGAGGCTGGGCTCTGGGTCAGGCCCTCCACGGGAGGGTCCCCCTGACAGCGTCAGTTTCATCTCTTACTTGCTTTTATGCAGCTTTTGGGTTATTGGGTTGTCTGAAGCTCTGTCAGTATCTTGGTGACCATGAGTGGGCACATTAGCAGTATAAGGGGACGGACCCTCTCTCATGACATAAAGAAGGTTTACTGACCCTGACAAACTGAAATAAATTTAAAGCATGCAAGAGACCACCTAGCTTCTGTGACAGTCAGCGAGAGGCGGGGCCCTGGAGCTGACTTGCAATTGGCTTCATTCTAACTCACCCTTTTTTCTTTGTTGCTTTTATAAGACTTCTTCATCACCTTCCCATACATTCATTCAGAAATTGGCTTTAGTAGGACTAATTTAGAAATCTTACAGCAATTAAGGAAGGAAACAGACCAGTTTCCCCCATTATCCAAGTTTAAAAAAGAGTGAAAAATAAAAAAGCAAAAGTGAAATTTTATTTTTAAAATTTAACCTTTTTATTTTCTCTTTAAAAAGAATGCCCTGGTAATGAAAGATAACCTCTTTAATTAAAGTCATAACATGAGTCATCTATAGAAATAAAAACAAAATAAAACTTCGACATTCTAGAGGAAGGAAAAAAAATCTTGCTTCTAAAATATAGAAACACCTCCCAACCCTTCTCCTATTCTTGACATTGCTAGTAAACATTATTTATTTGCCTCGAATAGATGCGGTTACATATCACTGTCATGCAAAAGAAATTCATTTCCTTTCCGAGTTCAATCTGCCATAAAAATTCACTCTTATTCCCATCTCCCACTCACCTGTCCTTGTGCATTAGTAACTAGTTGACCTGTGACCCCCTGAAGACTGGAGAGGGCATTGCCAAAGGCCTGTGAGCTTGCTATGGAGCTCATGGCTGCTGCAGCCGCTGCAGCCTGACTTGCTAGTGGATTATTAACCAGCTGCAAAGAGAGAAAAGATCACTGTGAAAACCACCAAGAGGCACAGGCACAGCACACGGACACAACATTGACTCAGGGGAGGTAGTTCTCGCCTCAGTTCGCTCATGCAAAGGGCCTGGAACCCACTGGCTGGGCCTGGGGAACATTCCAGTGGAAGTTCTGGGGTTTAGGGGAGGACAGAAACGTGGCTGGAAGGAAAACGTTCTCCACCAACACTGGGCTGCTTCATGGAGCCTGGGTTTAGGGCTACCCCAGTAGGGAATGAGCCTGAACTCAAGGGCTGAGGTGGGCTAGTAGGATCTTCCCAGGTAGACGAATGATTTTGGAGAAGTCCCTGGATTTTGTCCTCTAGACTAAATAGATCTCCGAGGAACTGTCTACTTTCCTTGAGGTAACCAGGCAAATAGGTAATAAAACAGGGTAAGGGTAGGAGGAAGAGAGGAATAGATCTCAGAATTTCTGTCAATGAATTTATCATTTTCCATTTGCGAATTGCACTTTCTTTTAGGGTCATTAAGTGAGGTAGGTGTCCCACCCCACTTCCTTCTTTGAGAGAAGAAGGAAACCAAAGCTGGTAGAGGTGGAAATCTATAGCCTCTATGCTCTCAGGGGGCAAATCTAGGGTTGGGACATTTTGGGGGCTCATCCTCACCATGGGATTCGAGGCTAACGAGAAAGGTCCTTTGACAACCGGTCAAGTTGACATCTGCTTACTATTTTAGCTACTATATGGCCTTCCCTTGGCCTCTTTCCCGGGACAAGAGCGAAGCAGAGAGGGAGGACTCGAGGGGGGAGAGAGACCTGCTCAGGAAGGAGGTTATGGCTGCCAAAATCTGTTTTTTTCATGGAGACCAATTCAATATTCTTCTTCCTGCCAATTTTCCACGCCACAGGTTTTCAGGCCTTCTGACCATGAGGCAGAAGTGTGGCTTGAACTAAAATCTGCATTTAGGTTAATGACTAGATATAAATTCAAGAAACAGTTAAACTATTTTCACAGTATTGGTTTTGATACATGAATTTCATTTGTATTTATTCTAGGGTGTTATTTTTTTCCCCATATAGTTTCTCTCAAGTACAACAATTGTGGTGTATAATAATTCATTTTCCATCACCAGTTCCCACATCCATGAAATTCCTGCGTTTTAGCAGAAACCTGCCAAGACTAAGACTTGGTGGAAAAAAATTAATGCCATACTTAATTCAAATCCTGGAAGCTCTTCCAGAAATACTTCTTTTACTTTCTTCTTTAGTCTCTTCATCCTGTCTCAGTCTCTCTTCTCTCTTTCCTTTCCTTCTTCCCTATTTCTTTCTTTCCCTCGAAATATATTTTATTACTTAATTCCTTTGGAAATTTGCCTACAGTTTATATCATCTGATGAAGAAGAAAATACTAATTATCAGAGGAAACATCAAAAAGGACAGAAATTTAATAATTCTTTTTTCATTAATGTGATATCCTTATCTTATTGGTTTCTTTCTTCATTTATAACCAAATTTCACATAACTAGTTCTACAGTAATTCTGTTGACCGAGAACATATTTTTTAAGACATGAAAATCCATTTTTAAGTTTATTACTTTATGTCTTTTGCCTTTATCTCTCTCCTAAAAGACAATAGTGTTTTTCTTTTTTAAGGAGGAAAAAAATTCTCATTCGTCAGCCTAAAGAGAAACCCTGTCTTATCCCAGATTACCACCATGGGATTTAAAATTCAGGTTGGTCTTGGTCTTGGTTTTCTATGTTTTTATATAGTGTATGTGAGGTGAGTAACAGTATGTGTCCAGAGAACACTCTTTCCTTGTTTTTAGCTTGACTACCTAAAGTGAGAAGAGTTCATATTGTGGTTTTTTTCCCTTTTTTCTCTTAGGGAGCTTTTAGGGAACACTTTCGCAAAACTGCCAGTCTAGACACTGCCCATTGGTACACCGTTCTTAGGCCATCTGTCAACTGCCATCTTCACATTTCTTTTATGCAGTACAAGTTGAAATCATAATGAAACTCCTGAGTTTTGACATCTCAAAATAAGCTTCTTAATTTTCAAAGAAAGATTAAATTGTGTGCCAGTTTGGTCTTAGTGCTGAATATACAATTTTGTCTATGAATTTTGGGCAAAAAACTTAAATCGGTGCATGCAGAATGCTCCCTGAAGAAGATAGGCAGCTATTCCTATTTAATGAAGACAAAATATTTTTAATAATTATAGGACATTTCCCTAATAGCTAAATCAATCAAAAATTCATATAGGAAATTGTGGAATTACTCTCTGCATACAATACAACAATGCACATTGAGAATTCCTTACATTCAGGACACTAATGTATTGTTCAGTTATAGTCCCACGTATTTGCTATAAATCCAGGTATTGCATAAAAGGTGAATGACCGTTCTGCATATAAAACAAAGTATCTACTTAAAATTGAGTTTCTGAGCCTTTGTGTTTTAGGGCCAGAAATGGGTTCACTTCAACTACTTTGGAAGGTTGCTTCAGCAACCACAAATACACAAGTTTGTTTTATTTTAAATGTTTATTTCTGGTCCTAGTTCGAAATCCAACTTGTTCCTCTTTTTGCTGCCTTTCCCTCTTAACAAAGCAAATGCCAAGTCACTGACCCTCTTACTTCCTACCGGGCACCCCAGTGGGTCTTTGTGAAAGGTGGCAGGGCTCTAGGGAGACACCCCGCTGCCCCTGTAGAAGGAGAGCTAGGACTTCAGTCACAGAGTGTGTGCGCACAGACAGTGGGTTCGAGCCAGTCTGTAAGCTGACAGCATTTCAGGTGGACCATTGCTAGTGTTGATGGATGCAACTTCATAAATATATTCTGGCTTTTCTGTCTGCGACTGCCGAGGCAGGGATGTAATATGCATTAAGATACGTGGCAGGGAGGGGGAGGGGTGGCAGAGAAACCATACGTGTTCTCCTCTCATCACCTCGGGTCATGTCTCTCTGTATCGTCCCCAGTCATGTCATGTTAGCAGTGTTCCTATCAATACTTCCTCTTGATTGGAGACTCTGGGTTAGATTTGGACAGCGGGGAGACCAGGCACAATAAATGCACATAATGAGCACGTTAACGTTCCAGGACCATCTGGATATTTTGAAGCTGCTGCCAAGTTTATGCCTTCGCATTTTCATTGCCAATGTACCTAACCAGCAAAGGACGGCCCAAATGAAGTCTGACTGTGTTACATGGTCGTGTTTCCAACAGACCAGCTCAAAAGGCACACTGAATTCTGGTGCATGCTTGTTCACAAAAGTGGAAGCTTTCAAAGTAAGGATTTGCAGAGGGCTACAGTTTTTATGTTACATCCAAATGGATTCTGGGCCCTGAGTACATCAAGTTACAGTTTTGGAGTCAAAACCCCACTAACAGCACTGATTTCTTAAGACAGTTTTCTTCCTCCTAGAATTTTAGAGAATAAAATATCACAATAATTTTTTTAAAATACTTTTGTACCAGTGAGGAAGGGCTCCAAACCTCACATTCCACTCACCCATCCATGAATGCTCTTGAGGGCATTGCTTTTGACACCAGATTGGCTTGCTTTGTGATTTTAAGGAAACCAGGCCTCATTTTTCTCCTGGATAAAATGGGTGTAAAAATAATGCCACTCAGAAGGGTAGGATGAGAATTAAGTGAGATAACAAATACAAAGTTTTAGAACAATACCTAGCATATTTCATTTTTTTCCTTAATAAATGCTCATTAATATTCTCACAGTTCATACTGTGTAGGGGATTTTGAACTAATCAATTTATCAGAATTAGAACTCGCTTCCATAAATGTCTTCTTACTTTGGAAATAACGTGAACAAGGGCAACTATTCTTGATTTTTATAGCAATTTTATTTTACTTTTTTTTAAAAGGGCAGCTTGAAAGCTGTTTAAAAGTATTTTAGAGTGGAGGGCATCAAGAAAAAGTATTTAAAACATAGCTTGTCTTGGGCCCACTTGTTGTGGGCCTCTCCTATGGAACGGGACTGGCTCATTTATAGATAAAATAGTGTTTAGATGCTGAAGCGAGAGTCAGTAGGTGACAGGTGAGCAAGACAAGGCATTACCTTCTTTAACAATACATTTTCCTCATTCTTAGTTTACAACATTTGTTGGAGTCCCATAAGGACACGCATTTTGGAGTCTGATTCCTGCCTCATGTCAAAATATTGTGAATGAGTCTATCCCACAGTTGCTGATTTCATAGTGAGGGCATGCAGGAAAAGGATTTGCAAAAAAAAAATGTTCCCTTAGGCTTTGCAACGATTTATTAATATTTCTATGACCACACGTCAATATGGATATCGGGTGCCCATCTCGTAATGAGAATAAATCCGTATTTACAATGGTGTGTCTCCTTGTTGTAGGTGGACATTAAATGGTGATGAGAAAAAAAACTTTGACCAAGTCTGCCCAAGGAGTACCCTTAGATGATGTCATATGTATGACATCATATAGATGTCACCATAGATGATATCATTACATGATGGAGGAGAATTTTTCTCCAAGTCACCACCCATATTCTCTTTCTCTGAAAGACTCATATTTTGCATCCTGGAAAGAATTCAGGTTTCTTAAATCTGAACATTAGTAGTCTTACTATTGCTCATGCAAATGTGCAGATTACATGATTCTACTATTACAAATCTCATTTACAAAAATATAGTAGCATGATGAGGCAATTTAGCCATGGTATTATATATTTATATCTTTATTCTAAGAGGACTTATGAATTCAGCAGGCTCAAAACCTTTCTTTGGAGCATAATTACCCATGATCTATAGTTCTATCATTCTCATCATGAGCTATGTGGATTTTATAGAGTATGGATTTTGGAGCAGCTCATTTTTTTTTTTTTTTTTTGCTACTAACTTTTCAATTTAGAACTCTGGAACTGTGTTGCCGTTTGTTTTTAAATGAGGATATTCATAAATGCATTCATCACTATTCATTCCTCATTTAAGGTTCGAAATGACTCAGCAGTGGCTGCTTAGAAACAGCAGGG